CAATTAATGTTTATAGGTGGTTTATAAACCACTTAATAATCATTTACAAAGTACTACAAACATCTGTTGCAACTTTACAATAACCATCTAAGTGATGTTTATAGATGTTTTAAAAACCAAATATTAACCATTTACAAAGTGCTACTGATACACATTTAATCTAGATGTTTTACAACCAATATTTAAACCCTATATAAACCTATAATAAATAGTCCATTAATAATTAATGAAAATAATTAATCATAATTTTATTGCTTGTTAATGGTCAAAAAACTATGAACTTACATTAATAAACTATCTATTTGCCATTTATAAATTATGGTTATTGTAAAGTGTTACCTTTAAGTTTTTTTTTACACGCTACTTTGAAAAGATGCTAAAACAATCTAGTTGTCGTCTTGTATATAGTGACCCTGCAAGATTCACAGTCTTTGTAATTTATTCTCTGTTCTCCCGTGGCATGACAGACCATATTTTTATGTAAATACGTGGATTTTATTCACATTGCACCAGTTGTATATAGAAAAAGGTGTAAACCAGATATTTTGCATTTTCGTGTCGCTTTGCTAATTCGCTGGTGTGTAGCGACCTTTACTTTGCACCCCTTATGCTAAATGCAACATCTCCTTTGGCTGCAGAGCATGAATTGTTAAAGAAAGCCTCTTCTGTGTCTCAGTGTTCAAGGATATGCTTATCCCAGTGTTTGTTTCAGACAGTATAAAGTGTCTACTCTATGTGCAAAGCAAAGAGTTACCTCAGAGAATATATCTGTGAAGTCTTGTAGAGACATTTTTTGAAATAAGACTGCAACAATGAAACTTACTGTCATGCTGAGACGCTTCAGGGGGTGTGAACTGTGCGAGTGCATTTGCAATCCAACAAGTTCATGCATAAAAACTTTTTCACGAAGGAACCTCAGAGAGATTTCAACCAAAACATTTTCAGACACCTGGATAAAACTTTCCACTTAACAGACAGAGCTGTCTGAGCTGCATGTTTGGCCTTCACAGAAACTCACGAGGTATTATTAAAATTTGGCTCCCATATATATTTTTATGTCTGCTGGTACAAACTTTTGGTAATGGCACTGTCTGGGTCTCACTCTTTTTTTTTTTAATATTAGGACTTTTCCCCTTGTATAAACTTTTAGTAATAGTAGTGAGACCAAATAATAAGGAGCTGAGACTGTGTGTGGCAGGACATTTTTCTGACTTTCTACATGCATGTGTGTGAGCATGTCAAGGTGTTTATTTTTCCTTGTTTTTCAGCCGGATGTGAATGGATGGATGTCACAAAAATGTATGAAAGAGGATTAGGGCCACAAGAAGAGAACAAAATAATTACAGGAGGGAGATTTTTAAAATTTACATTTCAAGATTAGAGTTTAAATTTAAAAAAGTTTAATTTTCGACTTTATTCATGTCAACTTTAAAGGGATATTTGGGTGTAAAATTAAATTAGGGTCAAACACACCGTATCACCTAGTTAGACACTCCCTAGAGCGATGAAAATTGCCGACCACTTGCTTCTCTAGTAACACCAACTTCTCCAGGCACAAACCTCAAACACAAGGCACAACAGTAAATATAGGGTCCCAGCCATAGTACTAGCCATCAAACATCTTATTAGCTTTGCCTGATTTCTTTAGCAAAGAGACCAAACACAACTCACCCACTCTCCTCCAGCAGCCGCTTGTTTGTATGGAGACCTCAGACGAGTCCATTACCGACTGCTGTGGGGTGACGCAGCTAAAGGAAGAACATTTATGATCATCACTTTATCATTTCCACAAAGTAATAATCACCATATTAATCATTTTGCACTGCAGACGCGGTAGTACTTCTGCCTTAGAGTCTCAGTCTGATTGAATGATCATAAATGTTCTTCCTTTAGCTGCGAAACTCCACTGCACTTGGTGATCCACTCGTCAGGGCTCCCCTACAAACAAGTGGCTGCCGGAGGAGAGTGGGTGAGTTGTGTTTGGTCTCTTTACAAAAGAAATTAGGCAAAGCTAAAAAGAAGTTTGGTGGCTAGTACTATGGCTAGGACCCTATATGTCCTGTTGATGAAGTTAGGTGCTGTTCTGAGCATTATTTGTGGCTATAGAGTGGCGTTTTGGTTGAGGTTTATTTATGGCTCCTCAGACCGCTGTGTATTGCTATCGTGTGGTTGTTACAAAAGTTGGTATAACTAGAGAAGCAAGCTGTCAGCAACATTCATCTCTCGGGGGGTGTCTAACTTGGTGTTACGGTGTGTTTGGACATAACTTAATTTTATGCTGGAATATCCCATTAATCTCAAAATTTAAATTTTTTAAATCTTGACATTTCGACATCATTCACAACATTTCGACATTTTGTAATCTCGTAATTTCGATTCTTAAATCTAAACTTTCGACTTTAACCACCTTCCTGTAATTATTTTTTTTTCTCTTCATGTTGCCCTAATCCTCTTTCGTAGACATGTGAGTGTGTGCACATGAATGGATGCACTGAGAAGTAATTGGTGTGGTCTGCAGAATTACCAGTGTAACAGTAGAGGACAGGAAGAGAGCAGAGAGAAGGAAGAGAGGACGCTTTGCTGCAGCTCATTAACCAACGCCTGTTAGCTTGGAAATAAATTGGGAGAGATTCCACCACTGGAGAGGCTGATTAGTTCATTTTTCTCCTCCCTCCGACTGATCCGTCGTAGGTGTAGTGAGGCGGGGCCGCTACCCTCACCCTCTGTCTCACTTACACACACGTCATGTGAGCCTGAGCACACATACACTCAAATCAGCCGCCCATGGGTCCTGCAGCAGATGTGATTGAGACAGGTGTCAGATGACTCGCAGGCTGCAACGGCTTAAAGGTCACCTACAACTACAGTATCTCTGTCTGTCTGGCTGGGCTCAGAGCCAGTGGTCGGGGCTCCGTCCAGGGGGACTGGCAGCTGACAGAAAACTTTAAGAAGCAGACAGAGTGATGGGGATTTCTGCAAACACCTTAGGGATGACAACAGAAAAACTTTCACCGGTGTTTCAAAGAAGTGGATTGCAGTGCCAGCGCTGGATTTGCTCGACTGATCCTTCCCCACGTATGATTCAGAGACATCATCCAGCCTCCCCTGTTATTATGGAGGCAGTGGAAAAATGTCTCCTCTGTTAAATCACAGATATCTTTGCAGAAGAGAGCATAAAAAGCTTAAATGCGGATCATATCTTGTCATTTGAAAATCTTGGTGTGTGGTTAACATCATTAGCATGCTGTTCAAAGCGGCGGCTGAATATTTAACCAGGCTGAAAGAGTCTTTGTCATGCTGAATGAAAGCACCTCCATTTGGCAAAGAGTGCAACGCAGAATTCAAAATAAGTATTTTCTGCGGTAATTGACTAGAATATGTGTTTGGCTGTGAAATTAGCCCACAGCAGAGGAATAACACCAGTGTACATCAGTGTCAGAGGACGTGACACTTCTGGTTGGATAAGTTTGTCAATACACGGAGGACGTGGATGTATGTTCATCCCTCATACCCATTACACAGGGCTCATCGGCGGCCGTGCATTAATAGACATCAACAGACACACTGCAGGCATGAATGCACCAGTGAGCACAAATGAGTTCATATTAAAATGTTAATTTTGGCTATGGACACATGTAGCAGAAGGACTTGCTCAAAACGGCGTGCACGACTGCATACACAAGTTTGTGGTCAATCACAGAGCGGCCTGTCATTTTTCCCCCCAGCGCTGCCCCGCCCTCCTTAATAACATCATTAATCAGGAGTGTCAGCGCTGAGATATGGGTCGATAAACAATTTGGCGCAACATGCCTAATGGAAACCGGAGTCATTTAATATATTCACCTGCTTATAAATCGTCCAGATTAGACCCGGCTACTGGAAGCTGCCCAACAGAAGTGTTATGCAATAATTCTTCAACATAACAGTGTCCCAAACATTCGCTGTGCCCTCTGAGTGGTGGCATCAATCTGTAGACCTGACCACCTGTTACACACATGAATCTCAGAGGAGGGGGGACTGGACTATGTGGAGAAATGAAAAAATGAGAAAACAAGAAAACAAATTGTTATCTAATATTTTGTTTATTTGTTTTTCTATATAAGTGAAAGATTAGTTTTTTATTTTCGTATTTTCAGTTCAAATGAAAATGGGATAAATGGGTAACGACAGCTTTATCTGATTTAGAGTTCTTATTCATGTCCCCATTTCCCGCAGTGCCTTTCTACTGTTCGCACATGCACATTGCACAACAAAGTAGCCAACAACGTGGACCAAAAGCTCCAGGCCAGAGCGGTAGAGAAAGACTAACCTGCTGTCATGGAGATGGACGCATCCTATGTATCATTCAAAGCCACCAGGGGGTCACAGGAAGGTATGACTGTAGAAAAAATTACTACCAGAGCACTGTTACAACGTAAGATTTTGGCGCTCGAACTGCTCTGTTGCATCTTTCGCCATGGTTACTGTCGCTGAGGAACTTAGGAAGGCCAATGTAGCCTCCATGCACGTAGGTTCAAAACAGGTGCACTCAAAATCAATAATTGTAAATAAGATTTATTATTCTGTTTGCATTTCCTTCTCAGTTATATATTCTATTTTGAGCTGAAAATACGAAAACAAACAAATTTTTCATTTTTTTGGTTGTACAGAAAAACAAAAAAACTAAATATTGACTCGTTTTCTTGTTTTTTGTTTTCTTGATTGAGGGGAATAATTCCATGGACAGATAATATACGGACCGTGGAGAATCCGTGTATCATTCGTTCATTTGATTTTCAGAATAAAACAAAAAACTTAAAAAAACAAGAAAATGAAAAGTTTTTGGAATATTCTTCTCCAAAACAAAAATACAAAATTTTCCGATTTCCGTTTTCTTCAGCTCAAATGAAAATGGGATAAATGGATAATGACAGTTTTATCTGATTTTGACTTTTTCGTCTGTAGAAAGTTTCTTGACTCGGAAGTCAACCCTACTCAGACGTCAAGAGAACAAGAAACGGGCTTTGGTGTTATGGCTGGACTCGAGAAATATTCAGCGCTCATACGGCACGTATCTGACGTGTCCTTTTCTCCTCAGGTTGTTTTGGGCGCAGAACCTTCTGACAGACATTTCAGAGTTTTGCCATCCTGAAAAAATGTGCCGCTGTGGCTAAATAAAAACCGCTACACCTCAACAATTACGTTTTTTACAGGCTACCTTGGACTCAGTATGTATCAGTGTATGGCGCACACGGGTGTTAGCATTAGCGAACATAAAACCGATTAATGGCCACCGCCCCCAGAATCTAGAATCTAGTTGTAGTCTTGTAAATAGTGACCCTACAAGATTCACAGTCTTTGTAAACTCTCCGTTTGAGACGAGGCCGTGACTGAAAACTCTAAACACTTGTCTTTAGATGTCAGCAGGTGTGCGCTGATAGTTTTCCAGGAGTCTTTTCCAAATCTTCTCAAAGTCCTCTGGTGGATAGCTGGCCTTAACCTGTCTCGATCACCATGGTAACCTCCTCTAAACTCATTACTTGGCTGCATGTCGACGTCCTTTCACTGACTTTTACCCTGTGATGTTCTCTGCTGGCAGTTCAAAGTCTCGGCTGTAATCTGAGTGTGGGAACATTTTGAACTCTAACGTCACAGAACGAAAACTATGCTGTTTAAAGAAACACATATTCGAGTAATATTCGATGAAAATAACCCTGTTTCATAGTTCACCCCTCAGGACTGCTGGTTGTTGCTGTTTTGATTTTTGAAACTAGACTGGAAAAACGACACAGTTATGACACAGTTTTTCTAAAAAATACATTAAATAGATATTAAAACTTTTTTTTTCCTCAAAACTTTTTGATTGCTGATATTTTGCTGATATTTTACTTATTTTAATTGTCCAGAGTAAGAGTGTCCTAAAAGGCGCCTATAAATAAAATGTATTATTATTATTATTATTATTATTATTATTATATTCATATATACTCATAGTTGCTAAACAAACTATACGACTAAAGAAGAGAAACTTTTGCTCTGTGATAGATGAAGTAGATGCACTTCTTGTCTCTTAACAACCAGCTTTCAAAGTTTAAGATAATGTCAGACTCACCCGACTCTATCTTATTATATTTTCAATTAATACAAATGTTTCTTTAAGGAATAATTATTACACTTATAACCTTTCAGTATGAGGATTTATCATATCTAAAATGGGAATCTGACATGTGGGAATAACTAAGATTAATACCTCTGTGATATCTCCAGAATCCCGGAGACACGATTATAACAGAGATATCATCAACCCATTTTTAAAACTTAAATTATAATACACCGTCCAAGTAGCTGATATCTGTAGTTTATTAAGAATTAATCCCACCATGAAGTTATATCATCTTTATACTTACTAAAGTGATGTAAAGTTTTTCTGAGTACCACATTATGCGTTATCGATTTGTCTGATTGATAGATATACGACTAGGACTTTGGTGACATCTGTGCTTGATAATGGATTTCAGAAACAGAGCCGGCTTTATGGGAATAAAATCCCACTTTTTTCGTTTGCCTGCATCACATCCTCAAAAATAAACGCACAAATTGTGGAGCATAAACCATAAGGGATGGAAAGAGGTAGGTGCAGAGCATCCAACCTTCCAACTGTGGGTTACTGGACGACACATTGACGCCAGACTGGTGGGGGAGGAGTGTTAACGAGATAAGTCATGCATGTATATTTGTGTATGTGTGTGTGTGTGTGTGTTTCCATGACTGCTGCCTGAAGCATCACTGACTGTCATCACATCAGCACATCCTGCTGGGCTGTGAGGCTGCAGCAAACTGTACCTCATGTTTCATCAAAGTTGCAAACTTACTCCTTTACGATGCTGTCTTTTGTCTTTTTAGTTACCTTTCACAGCAGAGTCTTCATCTGCACGTGCTTTTGGGGAAATAAACCTCTGCTTGCTCACATTAACACTAAAAAAAACCAGACTGTACTCCTGACTGGTGTGATTTTTAAGCCGACTGCCGCTCTTTGGTCTGTCTGCGTCAGCCCCCCAGAGTGACACACAGCCTGAGTGGACATGGCACTCTCATCTGACTGAGACCAAATGAGCCATGGGTAACGACAGTAGACACCCAGCCCATTGGCTAATTGTCCTGAATAATGAGGCTGGTTCTCCTCTGTGATTGGTGTGAGGTGGGAGGTTGGCAGTTGGCAGATTCATTCACAGCACAGTGTCACTAAAATGGTTTTTGTCGGATGACTGCTGGGATGGCAGGAGTCAGACCTCTAATTTCCATCCACTCTTTGTGCAGAATCAGCTGCTGGTTTACTGCTCAAGTATCACTCACAGACAGCTTTTGTTTTGGTTTAGTTTTGCTGCTACAACTATTTGATTTAGAGGTTTTTCTCTGGGCTGTTTTTCAGTTTTGCTTATTTCCTTTTGGCACACAGGGAAGTGCCGGTACCTGAACCCAACCTGAACCACCTCCAGCTGAATTTCTGGAAAAACATAACTTGCATTGTTGGCATCAGAAGCTAAACTATTGTTTGTTTTCTTTTTTAAATAAATTCCCCCACAGAAGAATAAAAAAGGAAGAGAACTGGGGAAAATAGTGTCCTTAAAAATAAATAAAAGGAAGGTGTTGTCTCTGCTACATAATACATAAGGCCTGAATCTGCATTGGCTGCCAGCTGGACCGTGATATCACAGTGAGTGTGGTTAGCTGCCGCTGGTTTCCTGCTGGTCCTGTTGATTGGGTTGTCAGAATGCAGACAGCTGCTGTGTGACATGCAGAATGCAGAACTGATTGCACCAGGAACCTGCACTGACAAAAGTCCAGGGGGGCCGGGTGGACAAGGGGGAAAAACGGTGATGAGGTCTGAGATCGAGACACTTTTGTTTCACATTTGCATGTTTGGATATGACACCACAACTTGAGGTTTTCATTCTCCATTCTGAGATCTATTAGGAAAAAAGTGGAATACCGTATTTTTCAGACTATAAGGCGCACTTAAAATCCTTTTTAATTTTCTCAAAAATTGACAGTGCACCTTATAATCCAGCGCGTCTTATGTATGATTACTTGTTGTGCTTACTGACCGATTTTTTATCTGGTACAATGCGCTCAAAAATCTGTCGAAATGTATAAATACGACTTTGGTAAACAATGACGCGGCATCGCTCAATGGATATTCAAAACACTACATTACGCTGTGTCACTACCTGATCGGCCCCGTAACAGGACCCCTGAGCAGTCTACAAGACCGCCTGACTATAATGTCTAAACTAGAAGTGGATTCATGTAAAGCAGCCCGGGCCCGGAGTACATGCTAGCAACAATAAACCAATCAATGCGCCAATGCTTAACGCGCCTTGCAATCCGGAGCGCTTTATGTGTGAAAGTAGACACGTTAATTCACTGTGCGCCGTATAATCTGGTCAGATCAACTATCTAGTGGCAGAGATATAACAAACAAAAATATATTTATGATTAACTACTTTTATTCTGAAGGAGCTCTGTGTGACTGTCTCCACACACCAAGCCCGAGTAAAATCATTCACACGGATGAATTACATGTAAAGTCAATGCAAAGACATGATTAAAAGCTCGTACTCTGGCGGGGTGAATGAAGCGAATGTGGCAGGAGCTGAAACTGTCTTACGTTGAGTGGATAATTGAGTTGGGAATTATAAATATGGTGTTTTTTTTTTTTTAATAATACTTCATCAACCATGTTTACAACAAATAAGAGGAAAAGTATTATTTGTTTTATGCTTAACATAAAGGAAATGAAATCTCACAATAATTGTTACTTTTTGATGGCGTCTTGCCATCAAAAGTCAAAATATGAAGTTTGGTTACACCAGTGTCGTCCTGTCACTGAGATGTCTTCCAAGTCATTCAGCTGATTTTCGCTGCTGTCTCACCCTGGCCTTCTCCCAACCTCCACCTCCTACCCCCAGTTTCTCACCCCCTCTGAGCTACGGATTCACACAGCCCACTCACAGTCTGCTCGTCAGGTCCCCTTCACAGGCACTTACCCACTTTAACACTCATCCACACTTATTCATGTTCTTCACCGTTCTTTCATGGCACCTTGCAGCGCAGCAGGTTGCCATCACCTGTCTTCCCTGACTCCCCTAAAACATACCTAGAGCAGCGGTAGCGTAACGCTATCAGCAGTCAGGCTGAGGCTGACAAACTCGCCTCTCACCCCCCTGCTGAGCGTACCCCCTGGGGGGACCATACAAAGTGAGTGTCCAAAATAGACAGCCAACATTAACAGAAAGGGCTCAGTCTGATCTACATTTTCAAAGAACTGGCTTCTAATATCAGAGATGGGCACAAAACACTTCATTCAAGTCCCAGTTGAGTCTCTAATAAAGTAAATAAATAAATAACAACAAAATAAAATTGTACAGTCATTGAATTGAGGGCTCAACTGATTTTAAAATGACTACATGACTTATTTCACATCAAGTTAAATTGATATTTTTTCATCTCTAAATATGTAAGATATGAATTTAAGTGAGCTAAAAAGTAACACATGGTTTCAACACAAGCCGTATTTTCCAAAATTAAATCTTAATGAGCTTAAAAAAAAAGAAAGAAGTAATCATTTAAATACAAAACTGAAATGTGCTGCGCTTATATTACAAAGCACAGAGCACTTTGAGTCACAGCGAGGAGCCAAGATAGTTTTTTTATTTATATTTTTAATAATAGTCCAATTTATGAAAGGTAAAAAGCCAGAAAAAGTTTAGGATTTTCGAGGGCATGTTTGAATTTCAGAAGGGGAAGGAGGCACCCCCCTTGGGCTGGGGCACCCTGAGCTAAACCTTGAATCCGCCCCTGCCACCTTCATCTCTCCTCTTCTAGCAGCTCTGTGATCTGCCTCATCTGTTTAGCTGTGATTAGAGGGAATAAAACTGTCCTTGTGATGTTACTGAGACAAAAATACACCTCTTTGCACCAGTGTGTGACCAAGTCTCAAATCTCTGTCTGGTATTTAATGATTGTCGCAAGTCCAAGGTCAAGTTAAGAGGATTTTTCCACCTCTTTGCACCATAATATTTGTCTTGGCGAGTAAAATCCTTAAAATTCAGTCGAATTTTGTCAACGTTGTAACAGCCAGACATGTTTCTGTCAGCAAATCAGGCATCAACTGGATTCTGTTGGTGTTTCAACAGTTTTAAAATCTTTACAAGAGGTATCAGTCAGTCTATAATTGAGTCAAGATTTGAATCCTTTTATTTTTTACCTTGTAAATTAAAGAGGTCTTGATAAAACAAGTTACAAGTGTGGTGAAGTTGTGTAAAAGTTAAAACTTATAAAACACCTTTTGAACACAAACTTGCTGGAACTGTGTAATCCATCACAGTGACAACCGAGAAATCACCAATTTTACAGTAAACTACACAACTTTCATGCACTTCTACCGTTTCAAACCGATGCGCCATGGAACGATCATGTAACAGAAAAGGATTTATGCTGTGACGGATTACGGAGCTCAGTCAGGTTGGGCTCATTAATTCCTTTGCTTTAATGAAGTTCATGAGTAGACATGGCTGCCAAAAGTGGCAAGATGTCAAGAAGAAAACATATGGAGAGTCTAATTATAGATGTTGAACAAATTATAACCATGTAAAGTTGATCAACATAATGTTCACCACCAGTATGTTAAATTAAAGGTGGGGTAGGCTGGATTCCGTTAGAGATGCATCTTTTTTTTGGTGTATATACAAAAAAGCGACTTGATTGGTTGTGAGGCGGACGCTGCTCCCTCGTGTTGTGAGGCACGCTTCACGTCCTCGAATAATGTTTGCGAGCCTAAACAAAGTTAGCGTGCTACAATATTGGACAGTAGAAACCGACCAGAAAGTACGGAAAATTGTCTGAATCCTCCTTTAGCCGTGACTGCCAACACAAGCAAAAAAACAAAGTAAATACTGGAGACTCTGGCGGATTAACGGGCGCTTAAAATGAAGGTAGACCAGACAAGAGCTAAGAAGCCGGATCAACATAAAACGATTGGGGACACTTCAGGATCTTACGGACCCTGTAACCTTTCTGCTGGACAGGTAAACCGCTTTAACAAAGTAAGCTAACCCCCAATTTCCACCACTTCCGGAGCGGCTACGAAAAGGTTGTATCCACTGATCTTAGATGATCGTAACCATTCAAGTTAATGTGTCAATATAATCTACTGCTTATATGGTTAGCCTATGTGGCAACTTGTTCATTGCATGTGAATCCGCAGGTTCTTGTAAGTTCTCGCGATTCCTGCTGTCCGTAATTCGCCACGAAATTCGCCTCACAAACGGATCCGTCAGGAATTGGCGGACATTGGCTGGATGCGGTGGAAATCCCGGGTAAGTGTCTGCAACAGAAGTGTTTCTTGTCAAACCTGCTGCATGTTGTAGCGCCGCTAAACTGTCTCCCTCGGGTCCTGGACTATGTCACTTTATCCTAGTTGTAGAAGTCCTGCAAACATTGTGTTTGCTGGTAGTCTGTTGGCATCTACAGTAGCACCAATGATTTTTGCTTTCACCTTGACTGGGCCCCATTTGTCTGAAATATATCTGAATTTAATTGGAACGATTTGAGCGAGCAGGAGCGTCTGTTTGTGGGCGGGGCTTGCTGGGAAAAAAAAATGTTTTGGAGGGGTAGAGTTTACATTCAAGATTTCTCCCAAAAACTGGCACTTCCTCAGATCCTGCCCACTCCACCTTTAATACATAGGGTACCAGTACAGCCCAGTTTGATCGTTTTACCTGATTAAACGCTAAACAAGCCTGTTAGTAAGATCCTGTCACATCCAACCACTTTGTCAGTATTCTGTTCCTATTACCGAACCAGCAGTCCTCCTGTAGACCTAATGCCTAACACAGACCCAACTGAGTGTGTTGAAAAGGATTTTAAAAGGCACCAGACTGGTAAGGCTGAGATGAAGTGATGGCTGGAGAGCTAAAGACAGCAGGAGAGTGGCAGAGGTTGACTTGCTCCTTGAGAACAGAAGAAATCATGTTGGCAGCAGGAACGCACAGTTAATACACTGCAAGAATAAAGGAGCCGGCCTCAGTGTTTGTGCCGGATAGGTGGACTGAAGAATCTGGCTGTGAATAAATGACTGGACATGTTGAGTGGACATACACAAACACAAACTGATGACATGATGGGAAACTAGTGCTGGGAGGCCATAACAGGATTATCAGGCGAAGCGCACAAAACAAACGTCAGACAAATGAGATTCTGCATAAAAATGAAATATTTATAAGCGTGCAACTTGAGTGTTATATCTCAGGCTGTTTCTTTGCCTCGCCTCCAGACAGCACAAGGTAAGACCCTTAGCTTCTTTCATAAGCAGCCAACAAAATGAAGCTATTTGTTTAAACCAATCAATTTATTAGTTTTTACCGATGAGGCAAAAGTTGGGAAATCACCCCCCAAGCAGAGAACCCACAATGCATTGCCATTAGCTTGTATCTCTCTGTTTATTTCAGGGTTTCCCAGCCTGAGTGTCTGGGTCACCTCCATGCCAGGTCCTACTTGTCTGTATAATTAGCGGTCAGGCTCTCACTGCCAGACTCTGTGCCCCATGGATTTATGATGCTGATGACCGGCCTGGTCTCAGGGGGATGGTGTGTGTGTGTGTGTGTGTGTGTGTGTGTGTGTGTGTGTGTGTGTGTGTGTGTGTGTGTGTGTGTGTGTGTGTGTGTGTGTGCCGGTGAAGCCGGGGGAGACACAACTGTCCTACTAATGAGGGGACACAAGGTTATTTACGGCAGGCTGGGCTAGTGTCATGGATATAGAGATAAGGCATACGGAGCTAATAAATCATGCAAAATATGTACGAGGAATGTTTGTGCATGTTTCTGTGTGTTCAGTATCTCCTCTGATAATACTTATATCACTGTTTTTAGAGTAATATTAACAGAATCTTCAATTCTCTAATTCACACTGCAAAAAAGGAATTTCAAGAAAGGAAAACAGTCTAATATTAAGGAAATCAGTCTTAATTTTTTGGACAAAAATAATATTAATCTTGTCAAGCATGTTTGGCACTAGAAAGATTATCTAATTTTAAGAGAAAATGGCTAACTTTTTCTTCACAAGATATTCCAGAATGAACCAGAGGTAGAGTAGAAAAATGTTTTACAATATAATCCAGTGGAGCAACAAGATCATTCGTCTCATTTTAAGAGTAAGTTGATTATTTTTTTTTTTTTAAGTTTTCCATTGCAGGTCATGTGAACCTTAAATCAACTTGAATTGCCTAAATTCACTGCGAAATCCTCCTGAGATCAGCTCATGATCACCAAACGTCACCCAGAATGAACTGAAATCTTCCTGAGATCATTTTGAGGTCGAGTGAGATCACTTTAAATCCTCTTGTAATCCATCTAAGATCATCCAGATTTTACCTAATTGCCATTTTGTGGCGTGCAGGAGTCTTTTCAGTCAACCTGCACGCCACAAAATTTACTTTGGAAGAGGCATGTCCCCGATTTCACACTTTTTTTTACAAGTCCTAATATATGCTGTAAATGTGTAGGTGTGTTTGTTAGTGTGTGAGCGTGTTGTCCGCCACCAAAGCCATCATCATCATCATCATCATCACAGATGGGTGTGCTTTTTAGTTCCAGCTTCTGTCGCACACTTGTGCTGCAAGGATAAGAGAGGCTTCATCTCTATGATTCGGTATCTCTCATCTCTACTGATCTAGACAGTCATATTCAGTGGAAAACATAGCTGTCGGGGCTTTTCTTTACATTATGTATCACACATTTTATACCCTTCATTGTGAACAAAACTGAAAAGCTCTCTTTCCTCCTCCACTGTAGTGACTCATCTTGTCTTTCAGAGCCGGAGCTGAACGTCCATTGGCTGCAGATCAATGGCAGACAGGTGCTGTGATCAAAACAGCCTGCTTTTCCTTAATGTGTTTTCTGCCACGTTTATGCAAATATTTACACTGCTTGCATCACTGCGGCTATTATTACGGCCCTTATCTCGCTGGTTTGCTAGAAATGGGAGACATCGGGATTTCAAGGACCGTTGTGTCATCTGCATGCGATGGAAGCGTGACTGGTTGAGTGTAAACACGAAGCAAAGACCGTTTTAGTCTGATCCACGGTGATGAAATCTACACTAAGGCTTTAAAGCATGTCTCTCAGACATTAGTCGTACAGCAGAGGTGCCAGCTGTCTACAGAGAGCATTTATACTCCTGAAATTGAAAGCTTTCTGCTGGAAAACTCCTGGAGAGTCTCTGTTTAAAAACAACAATCTCATCCGGCACTGAGGGGAGTAAAAAATCATCTATTTGTTCAGTGTGCTACTGCTGCTCGGTGTGTGGATGTGTTTCTCTCATAAAAATACAACCACCAAGCTCTGACAATTTTCCCAGTCGCTGATTTGACCTTTGGAGAGACATCTTTTATTGCAGCGGCGAGTGTGTCTAGCTGTGGATTGGCTGCACCGTGGGTCGGCCTTCTGCTGACCTTGTTAACCAGAGCGCTGACCTTCATCCTCACCTCACTCTTTTTCCGCCTTCAAGCCAAATTTGTCCTCCAGCAGAAATGTGGACCTTTCACCCTGTGTGCTGTTGTAATTTGTTTTTTATTTTTTTTCTCCCAGTCTGACTGTTACACTGTGTTTTTGTTTTATGTCAGCTTTCTCCTCTCACAGTCAGATGCACACGAAGAAAAAAACACTGGTTAGATTTAATGTAATACAGTCTGGATTACACACCGTTTGTTTTAATCATTCTGTCTGCCTACACTTCATTTACCTCTATGTGACAGACTTTCATCCTCACTGAATGTATTTGACTTAATCTCCCTACAATTTCATTGCACAATAATAGAAACTATATGAGCAGTCTTTTTTCCTGATCTTTTAAACAAACATACTGCATATTTGAAAATAATCACTCCACACAAGTGCGAGTAAAAGATGAATATTTGAGTATTTCGAGGACTAGAGGAGGTGGAGTGCTTACTTAAGTGTTTTGGTGGCACGGATGAGAAAATAAAGGAAGATAATTAATTTCATTCATAATGCAGCTCATGAATAAAGTCTTTAGGGCAATAGCACAGGGATAAAGTGAAAAATAATTATACAAATAAAGTTGAAATGTGAGATCCCAAGAATATGGTTTAAAGTGGTGACGCTACTCTCCCAAATAAAACTGTCTCCAAAAATCAAAGTATACCTACACTTCACACCTATGGCTGTTTTCTTACTGTCTCACTCTTTCTGTTGGTGTACTTGTAGATTAAAAAGCCAATCCTTTTTTAAAATGTCTAGAACTGCAACATGTCGTCTATTCGTCCAGCATTAAGCTAGCACAAGACGCTAGCTCATCTTCTACTACACAGGCTAATAGCATTCATTCACAATTGAGCAGCTGACTTGGATATAGCATCCCCGCGACTTTATTTGGTAATGGTACCGTAACAAAGGTGACCAGACGTCCCCGACTTCAGAGGACAGTCCCTGTAGTGGATGACCTGTCCCTGGCTAAAGCTGTCCCCGGAAATGTCCCCGATTTAAGTGTTCCATGAATGAGAACTAAAATGTTGCATGTAGACTAGAACAACAGTTATTACGGTTGCTGAGTAGGTAGGAAGCACGAGTAAGCATGTTGCCCGCAGTCCTGAACAACAGTTTTTATTGGGGGTAATTACGGGGGACGTGCGCAGCTACTAAGTAGTACCAATATGTTGTCAGCAGTCCTGTCAGCAGACGGGCACTGTGTGATGAAAATTGTGTTTTTCTTGTTGTCTGCATGTTCATATATCATTTTTCTGATGCTAGAGGACGTATCATGAAAAAATTAAGCGCAAAATTCTACATCACAAGTCCATGCTCTGCTGCAGGCGCCCCACTCTGCAGGCCAGACTCGGAGAAGTGGAGAGGACGATGGCAGAACATGTGCATAACAAAGCTAATTATGATGTTAGCTTTCATTATGCGGCTAAAGACATTAGTGTTCGAGAGCTGAATAACCAAAACCACGGACATTAAAAGGATTTTATAAACTCCTTCAAAAACAAGGCTGGACAGCCCCCAAAATGAGGACATGTCTGGGTAAAAGAGGACATATGGTCACTCTGCTATATTACTTGCTACTTCTACTGCACCAGCAATGTTAGGCTACAAGCTAGCATGAAGAGGAGTGTGGAGAACAGCGCTGTCTCTGCCCATGACATAGGGGTGAACTGCTAATAAGCTACTGGAGCTCTGCAGAAGAAAAGCGCTTAAAAATGACATGGGTAATGTGAAGATTTTGATGTATTGCAACAATTTGACTAACACAGGACTTTTAAAATACATGTTGGACTGAAATCACAACTGTACTTTTTAATTCACTCATCCAAATTGATCGCTGAACCAGAGCAGGCAATGGCTCTAAAAACAAGTGACTGTCTGAATGTTTATGCAGCCACACCTCCACAGATATTCTTGTTTTCAGAGCGCTCCAATGATGCCGTTCTTCTGCTCTGAAAACATCAAACCTGAGGGTGCGGATCATTCTCTTAAAAGTGCACTTCCAAGATGCTGGAGGCAGACACTCCCGTCGAAAATAACATGAAGAGCACGCTGCACAGCTCTACTGAAAAACCAAGAGAGTTTACCATGTACGCCCGAGGCCTGCGTCAGGTTATTCCCCTCACACACTCCGTCACATTTCTTCAAAGCTCTTCAAGATGAAATGGGTGAGATCAGAAAATAAATATGATGTGGTCCTGGCAGAAATCAAGAAGGCCACTTGAGGTTTTACCTTAAAACAGGCATGATGCTGTTTTTTTTTTTCTTTTCTCATACGACGGCGTTAAAAGAGGGAAAAGTCAAAGCGGGCCTGATACAAACAGCTGAACATCAATATGAATGAGACACTGTCAGTCTGAGCCACTTAATATTCCTGTTTGGTATTTTATGTAGATGGCACTTTGAATGGCTCAGTGGGAAAATGCAGTGTCAATGAATAACATCACATTATCTTAGCCACCTAGCTTTGTCATTCGGTTGATGGGGCTGTCATCTGTGTATGCCTGGACAACTCTGGCTGTTTGCCAGCATGTCCTGTTGATGTAGCCAACTTTATCCTCCTTGCCAGTGAGCTGTGACTAATATGAAAACACATCTGACATCTGGCTCACTCAATCTGCTGGTTTTAAATAGATGTCGGCTCAGTAAAGCATTCAATCGCTCTTTTCTTTAAGGGGATAGACATCTGCCAGAATGGCGTCTGGGGGAAATGTAGGAAACGGCGCTCAGATGGTGATATTTCCATCCAAGGTGTAATGTGCTTTTATGGGTAAGTAGACATTTGTGACCTTTGCACATAACTGCCTGATGTGGTCGGTTTTTTTTCTTTTTTGTTTGTTTTTTGTTTTGGGATTTAACAGAACAAGCAAATTAGCAGAAACAACTGCAGAGCTGGAACAGTGAGGCAACACTGTGAAGAATAACAGGTTGGCTGCTGTTATTAGAGGCTCCCTCCGGCTGCTCAGGTTTGGGTTTTAAAGCCTTTTTATCAAATAAAAATGGAAAGTCTGTCATCTTTATGTGTTTTGGCACAAACAGTCAACAACTGAGGTTATAAACTTGTTTGGCTCAGGTCCCTTTTAAGATCTTGGGTTCTTGCGATTCGGGATGGGCGATAAATTATTGTTCACGATATATTGTCAGGAAAAATCCTCCATGATAAATATTTGCCATCTCATGATAAATACGATAAATGCAAGTTGATGATGTAACCATGTGCCATAGTCCTGACGAGTCGATCACTGAGTGCAGCGGATCATTTCCTTAAAGTAATAATCATCATAATAATCATTTTGATCTGCAGACGTAGTCGTTCAAATTCCACTGCTTCCAGAACGTGTACAAAAAAAGGCCATATCTGCCGATCACAACTGATCGTAACCATTCAGGTTAATATGTCAATTTCCACCGGCTTCTTTCCAACAACTCATTATAACGCAATTGCTCGTGAATCCGTTCTTGGGTTCTTGTGAGTTCTCGCAATCCCCGCTGTCCATAATCTGCCACGAATTTCGCCTCACATACGAATCCGGTAGGAATTGGCGGACAGAGAAAATCGCCTCCGTTCTGGATTGGAGCCATTCCAGATGCGGTGGAAATTTGGGGTAGGCATCTCGGTCTGATTGCATTTCCATGAAGAAATAATCAAACATTCTTCCTTGAGCCGTGAAACTCCTGTGCTCTCGGTGATCGACTCGTCAGGGCTCCCCCCACAAACAAGCGGCTGCTGGAGGAGAGTAGGTGAGTTGTGTTTAGTCTCTTTGCTAATAAATTAGGCAAAGCTAAAAAGATGTTTGATGGCTAGTATGACTGGGACCCTATATGTCCTGTTGATGAAGTTAGGTGCTGTTCTGAGCATTATTTGTGGCTAATGAGTGGCGTTTTGGTTGAGGTTTGCGCGTGGAGATGTAGACCGCTGTGTGTTGCTATCGTGCGGTCGCTACTAGAGAAGCAAGCGGTCCGCAACATTAGGGGGTGTCTAACTCGGTGTTAAAGTGTGTTTGACCATGACCTAAATTTACGCTGGAATATCCCTTTAAGGTCACGGTCCTAAAGTTGACACAGGTTATGAGCAGTCAGGTCCAAAGTGGGCGTAATTTAATCTGTTTCTACATTATTCCTCGGTTAAACTGTAAACATTCAACTTATCTCCAGGCCCTTTAATTTCCATCTGGCCAACAAAGTGAGTTTATAGTGACTGTAGTAAAAGAGAGACATTACATTTCCTAATAGAAAAATGAAAGGAAAACATGAAAAGGCTCGGATAAACTCTAATGTGGCAGCTTCAAAGTGATAATAACATCTCTGGAAGATTACAATAACGGGCAGGTGCAGAATACATTAGCTGTATCAGCAAAGACAAAACACCTGAAGTACTGAATAAAAGCCGCACACATGTAGAGACACCCTGACTCCCATGTGAACGCTAATGAATCAACAAAGACACTTTACAGAGACCCGTTTTACACAAACTAAATGTAATGTCTCATTATGAAAGCAGCATCATTTTCATATGAACAACTGATCAGATGATGTGGAGAGGAAACGACTCCACAGTTTCAGCTCATTTTCGTTTTGTTTTTCCCTTTGCTTCAACAACATTTGGTCGACAGCAGGTTGTTTCTTTTTGTGACAAATCTCTGATAAATCCACTTTACTCTGCAGTCAGAGCAACAAGCAGCAGAGACAGACAGTCAGCAACTACATGGTCAATATTAGGGGAACATTTGGAGGGTATAGAGCCGCATATCTCCAAGTAACTAACGCAGACTTAAAGGGAAGAGATCGTAAGATTAGGGCCCTGTGATTTCCACGTTAACGGAATCGTGGAATTGGCCAATAAAAACGGCATCTACTGTTAAACGTGGCATAATGTGATAAAATGGTGTTATCGCGAGGAGAAGGAACGTTTGTCTAAGCCTAAGGAAATGCTCCCAGGGATCACTTACCCGTCCCTCCTGAATAAACAGCATATAGAAGCAGCTACAAGAGACACCGGCTACATCCACGAAAAAAAACTTAGAAACTCTTGCCTGTCTCCAAAGTACAGAGCCGAGCAATATCCAAATGACTTCTGTTAACATACCGTTGACTGGAAACGCAAAAATACATGTGACGACATTTGTCGTCTAAAACCCACATGAAAAACAAAGAAAACTACTGTGCAGTTACACGGTACACTCAATTATTTCTTTTACTCAACCATTTGAAAAGTATTAAAACTTTGTACTTATAGCATTTATTGGTACATTGTTATGTTACAACATTATGATTTGACTTGAAAGACTGGGCAATGATGTGTTACAGCTATAAATCTCGATATATTTGCATTTTATTAATTGGCATTTTATTTACTGACACTAAAACCTGTCTAGAACGATCTTCTCTGTGTAGACTGACGCATGTTGGAAGCGTAGAGCAGCAAAAATTGACTTTACGCGTATCTTTAGCAGAGCTTCTGATACGGAGCTGATAAGCGTCATGAGCGATGCTGCGTTGATTAGAATGGGAACCTATTTGCTGTGCGATACGCGACGCTAACATTGCACAGATCCTGTTCATGCTACCCTGAGTATGCTTCACTTTCTACTTTTAAAAAGAGGCTATTTCTCACAGAGCACACGTAAGAAACACTATTAAAGCAAACACTTGTACCTCTGCTCACAGAAACAACACTGTCCTCCACATCCCCCTCGTATCATCAACACAAACAACTTTTTTTTTTCTGCTTTAGTCTAAATAAAAAAACAGTGGTGTCCTCTGTTATTTGTGGATGAACAGGTAAATGGGTAGTATAAGTGCAATATAAGTGCAAGTCTAAAAACGTCTTACAGTACTTGGGTAGAACAGAAGACAAAGGAGAGGCGCTGGTTTAATATGCGTTAACTGTGCGGTAAAAGATTCCCTGCTCTCAGTGTCTAATTACTCTTCCTATTGTACATCTGCTCTCTTCCTTTTTCCTCTCCATCCATCTTCTCCCACCCCAAGAAAACAATAAAAGAATCTACTCTTATCCTCCCTGTTTTACCTCCTTTTTTTCCAGTATTAAGAGCTAATTTATCACATTCCCCACATTTACCCTTTCCTCAGGCTCTCCGACTTGGGAATGCCCTTTTGTTTTTGTTCACCCAGTTATTCAAACCGCATCTAAAACTCGTTTAAAGTTAGATAAGAAAGATTTTTCAGCATTATGACCTTTGTGGGTTGATTACAGAAAAGAAAATTTAACTATAAGGGAAAACTTGCACATAAGCTGCTTTAAAATCAGCCTATAGCATCAATATTAGAACCAAACACTCCTGCACTGCACTGCTAAACCCTAAAATTGGGGGTAAAACAGAAGTACCATTGTTAAAGATCTGTGTCATGTATCCATAACCCCTGATAGATGAATAATTTATCATCCATTAACTGAAGCAGTTGATAATTAGCGCACAGTCATTGTACATCGCCGGCCTCAGGTTTCTTCTCTGCAGACATCCTGAGCTGCCTCTTAAGGACAAAGCAGCGGTGAGCGGCTACATTTTCTCTCACAGGAGGGAGGACTCCTTTCTTCACCAGGCTTTGTTACAGAAAGAACAGTTTGAGTACAGAATATTACTCCCTCATGGATTATGTAGGAAATAACACAATAACGGTGTAGAAATGAACGTGCCTTCGGAATAATTTCTTTCTTACACGGAGGAAAAAATTATCCTAAGTGTTCAGTTTCAACAACAAGTCTGGAGACAGTAAAACCAGAAACGATTTTGCTCCTGTTTCTTGGTATAGATGAGTATTTTCCTGGAGAGTGGCCTCAGACATGCTGAACAGGATTGTAGGTTCAAAGCATTATCTGATCATGTCTCTCTGCATCATCGCTGATCAGATCTCCTGACACTGTCTTGTGAAACCATGTTCGAAGATGTTAACCTTACTACCAGCTTTAACTGTCTCCAGACCTGTCTGATCAAACAGACTCTGGTAGTCACAACAGTGAACTGCTGATTGATAAACTGAGCTGCTTTTGTAGTCACACGGTCACAGGTGTTTCCAACAAAACTTGCTCACTCATGCAGTATCTTTGAAGCTCTTATGAGTTTGATTAATCTTTTCTCAAAGCAGTCGACTTAAAGAAAGGTGTGTGCGTTTTAAATGCTTCCAAAATATGAATGTAAGTCCAACTTCATGTACCAACAGAAACCACACTATCCTGCCAATATCAGTGATCGTGCCAAAATTAAATTCCAACATTTCGCAACCAAGGCTTGTTGCAAAGGGAAGCAGCTACAAAGTGCAGTTTATTATCTGTGTTTGTTTTTGCATCTCACTAACAGGGTAAAAAACTATAAAAAGGCTTCAATGCTCAAAGTTTTGCTAATTTGTTTCGCCTTAAAAGATTGAATATATCCAGCATTTGTTAAAGGGGGGTATCATGCTTTTTCACATTTACAACAAAAAACTGCAAAGTTACATGTATACAAAGTTTTAAACCACAAGGTAAACGTATTTTGTCATAATCTGAGAAAGTAGATGTAAACTGCTGAAATCTCGGACCAATATGCAAAAATGGCCTGCCTCCAACAGCGTGTGAAGTGACACCTACAGCGGAGCGGGGTAACCATATATAATATAATTTATATTTATCTGTTTTTTTCTGCATGATCCCTTTAGTTTTCCATATTGTGCTTATTGTCCTACATCAAACCACGTAAGAGCGGATCATACTGTCATTTCCACTTGAAAGGGAGGGGGGTAATCATGCTTTTCCACAATTACAAACAAAAACCCAAAGTTACAAAGTTTGGTGTCCAAACTAGATAGAGGCAAAGTTTCAAATCATCATTTAAATTTTGATTTAATCCTAAAAAATTATGTAAAATGCTCAACTCTCGGACAAATACGAGACCGTAGTCCATGTGCGAGATTTACTGAAGTAACCCTGTTTCACTGCTCAGCTGATCGACCACGATCGAGGAAGCGGGGCCAAAACAACGAGCTCTGCCTTCAGCCGACCTATCAGAAGAGAGTGGGCTTGTGGCGGGGGGGCCTTAAAGAGACAGCAGCTAAAGCGAAGCATTTCATGTGGAGGCTGAAAAAATGATATTTTAATACACCGCTGTGAGAAACGTGAGGCTTTTATTGATCTAAAAATCATGTTAAGTTATTAAAAAGGTATCAAAAAAGGAAATATAGAGTCTGAAAAAAATACTTGATACCCCCCTTAAAGTGAAGAATAAGAGTTTGATTGATATACAGTAGAGTTGTGGGTAAAAAGCTTCCTCTCAGCCTGCAGGTTGGTTGTTTGATCATCTGAAGTCACAGGTGCTTCTTCGCAGTAATGACTCATTTGGCAAACAGGATTTATTGTCTGTGTTCATCAAAAGACACGCAAAACCACGAGTTACATAACTTACCCCGCTTTTCAATCCAGAGTGACTTATGCAATATCAACTCACTTTCTAATTTAAGCAATTATGTTTCTCTTTCACTTTCAGGTTATTGTTGTTGCGTGGCACAGAGCTGTTTAAGCCGCTTTTGTTCTTGAAAATACACACAGCGATCTTTGTCGGGCCATCTCCGCAGATAAAGCAAAAGCCGTACGCCGGGTCTATTCACTGCGAACACATACAGCATCCTCAAATCTCTGTTGCCATGGTTGTATATTATCCTCATATGCCTCCACAGTCAGTCTCTCTGTCTGTCACTCTGCCTGGGGTCACAGCTCACTCTTGCCTGTTTTTGCAAAATTCTCAAAAGATTTCTCAAGCTTTCGTTCTAGGAACAAAACAACTGCCATTTAAAATGTTTTTGACTCTATTCTAAAGAAATTACCAGAATGAGTTCTTGTCTGATTTTCTGCTTGATCCTGGATTGAACAGCAACACAGTAAAACAAAAACAAACTGTAGAAATCAAAGAAATACAAAACTATGAATTAAAAAGATGCTGAAACGCAGACGATCAGAGAGTGCACACCTTACTTATTTCTATTTTTACCTGGCTTTATTCCTGTTGTGATAAATCTGTGGCTCTACTTGATCCAAATGCCTGTAAGTGATTCTGCCAAAGACAACCAGATCACACATCATCCTGCCAAAGATGTCCTTTCCTGCTCATATTTGATCCTTTTAAATCAACCTGTGGACAATGCGTCAAAAATGCAAGTTATATCAAGGAAGATATTTAACTTATAGCTTACTTTTTAGATTTGTGCTTAAAGACTGACAAAGACAAACTGGAGGAGCAGAAAACTCTTTCAGAGTAAGGTTTCTTCATTGGGTTTAAAATTCAACTCAAGAAAAGATGACGATTTATGTGCACACTTGGCGAAGGAACCTTGTTCCTTGGGCCAATACACCAATAAAAAAAATGTCCCTATTTTTCACAACCTAATGCTGGCAAGTATGAACTTGTGACCTCCCGCCCTCAAAATGTATAGATTTTTTTGCAGCATGCAGAATGGTGGCGAAAAGGCCACAGGTGCCGATCATTTCCATTCAAGTAAATGTGACAAATTCCACCAGCTAGTTTTCAGCCCCTGTGGTTCAGCGGGCTTCGTAGCCGATCGCTGGGGTTCTACTTTTTCTGGATGCCGCAGCATGCTGCATAAATTCAGCGCAGATTAGCCCGCGCTGGAAAAGAAGTGGGGCACAGACACAAAATGAAACATCCAACTTCTTTTGGATTGTATTTCTTTTGGATTGTATTTCACACCATACAAACGTGGTTTGTTTCATAGATAAAGGTAAATATTGCACTTACTTATGGTTAATTCCCAATGTAGACTCTTTTTTAAAAAAAATTGACTCTCCTGAACCAAGTTGACGAATTTTTCTCATAGACCAAATTGCAATGAGACTTCTATTTGATAACTAGTTATTACTCAGTGCATTTAAATGCACAGCTTAATCGGACTAAGCTCATAATTCGGTTTTCAGACTTCTCTCCTTGTCCTCATATACATGCAGCTGAGAAAATCGTATTATTGACGTAAACATGTCCTCCTCCCCAAAACTAGGGGGCGATATGGGTCATTTCAGCGGTGCTGTTTCTGGTTTACCCCATACAACCATCAACAACAACAGCAGGTCCGTGCCAGACGTCAGAAGTGGCTACGAGTACGGCGTTGTTTTTGTCGTACATGATGTATGCGCTACTTTTTCTGTCGATAAGGGGCATGCTACTCCTCTTCTCTGGTGTTTTTGTTGCGGGGTTATGGGGGCATGGTGCACGCACACATGCATCGTCCTATCATACTCCAACTATGCTGGTTACACGGTAGAGAAAATCAAATTCCAATCACATTAACCTTGGTTTCTTAATCAGAGTTCTCAGACTCTGATTATAGTCAGACTAAGGTGTTTACATGCACTTCAGTTGTCCGGTCTGTCCGGAATAAGGCAATAATTTGGTTTTCTCGAGTGTCATGTAAATGTACTGACTGCCTGACTGATGCTCTCCTTGGATGAGATTCCTGCTTTGCCTGCTTCATATAGGAACTTAGATGACCTCCTCCCTCTTTCACTCTGTGTGCATCTGTGTCCTGTTAAAACATGTCTCTGACTCTCTGTCCCTGTTAAGTTTTGAGCTCTTACAGCGGATCTTTTGCCGTGAGTTGAGCTCTAAAATAGGCCGAACAAAAGTGTTATGAATAGGAATTAGAAACACATGTGATGAGGGTGACGGGTGGTATCTGACAGAAGTAAAAGAAAGAGGTAGGAAGCATGAAAAGAAGGAGGAGGTAGAATGGCTAGTGTGGTGATCTTTCATCATAATCCTGTTACTGTTGAATAATTTAAGTATCTCCTTGCAGACATTAATTTCCTATCATCTACTTTGCCTCTAATTCACAGGGAGAATTAATGAGGATTGACATGGCTGCTTTTTCTTGCGCTGTAAAAGCCAACATGGAGCTGTTGATAAGCGGGACGTGCTGGAGGAACAATGGGCGTCTGCTTATAGCCTCATCGTTTATTTTATACTTCTCCTCAGCTTTCATTAGCCTCTGAGAAATAGGGCATGAAAATATATGAAATAATGCTAATTATCTACGGAAAAAATGATGATCAGAATTATCAAAGCAAGACAGATATGCTGTATTTCCTCTTTCCGGAGAGTCATTTTTACTTTAAAGTGAATTTAGCGTGTACTGTCGTCTTTAATGCGCATTATCTCTGAGAGGTCACCTCTGTGCGGTGTAGTAGACACGGTGAGGACAAAGCCGGGCAACTGATAGGCCATCTGTTTAAAAGATTGATAGCTCACTGCTGCTATCAATGATACGCCATGTGCCTCTTAGCATTCTGTGGATCTTTACTGTTGTTTTCAAGGACACCGTGCAGCAGGATAACCACGCCACATAAAATGACGTTTTATGAATGGTAGAAAAAGAAACAGGAGAAAAATAGAGAGGGAATTAAAAGAAAAACATGCCAGTGTCGATATTGTCGACACAACAGGTTCGAAAATACGACACAAAGCTCGTACACGTCATCCTTTTTTAGGCAGGGAGGAAGAAAACCACTGCTGGGACGAAGAGCGGGGGTGCGGCTTCAAAGATCCGTCATGTTTCAGGACGACTTTAATGGCTGAAATGGGGAGCAGAGCTGCAGTGACATTCACATCAGACACCCTGAGGAATTTTAAAATAGATAAAAAACGAAGCATGTCAATGTCTTGATGTCGAACAGAGAAAGTGAATCACATTAAGTCGTATTTTATGTGTTTTGGTGGATGGAAATCACCTTCGCGGCTCTTATCTTTCTTCTGTGAAAACTAATCCCTTCTAATAGTAGACATCTATTTGTTGTCATTGAAGCTTGAGACTATCTTTGGCACTTCTATCCTCTCCTGCCTTTGTTGGGGACATTTCCTACACTTTTCAAGTAATTCAAATCCTTCAGAGTGAAAAAAAAAATCTCGGCGAGATATGAAGTCAACAATACTCTTGGCACTTGTGATAGCAATTTAATTGAAATGTCAGTCGAAGGAGAGGGTCTGAGAACCCACAAAATCTGTTTTTCCTCGGGTGTCCTCGTGTCTCGCTCTCCTCCTCGACTCCATCTCTTTCTCACTTTCTGCGCTCTGAGTTACAACTTCATCACTCAGCGTTGTCGAGGACAGGGGGCGAGCCATGCATCAGGTGACGCACTCAATGTGGGACTCATTTGACCCATCACCCCAACAATGAAGACTAACCCTGAGCTGCTCCTTCAATTAATCACATAACCTTCCCCAGCTGCCCTACCCTTCCCCCTCTGATCGCCCCCTCTCCATCCTGCCAGCCAAGTTGATCCGCCGCAGCCGGAAAACCTCTTCTGCCTTTCCTCCGCCTATGAGGGTCGAAGACAGTCGTCCACCATTCCACATGACTGCCAGTATAAATCTGACGGAAGTAATTACCCATCACCCTCTAGGGACCGTAAGCAGGTTTCCCGCCCCCTCTTCAATTTCAACATAGTTCAACCTTATTATTCTCAGCTGGGAGGAGAATGGCGCTGCATGAGCGAGGCGAGTCGTATTTAGAGTTAATTGCCTCTGGCAGGTGAGGACATCAGTTCCACCGTGTGCCCAGGCAGATGGCTCACTGGAGGCAGGTTCAATCAACTAATTGTAAAGTTCTGATCGCCCTTCTGGGAAGTGTCGACCTAGAGCTGGGGTTGAGGGACAGCAGACAGACTGAACCGCTTAAAGGTGGGGTAGGCAGGATCTGAGGAAGCGCCAGTTTTTGGGAGAAATCTTGAATGTAAACTCTACCCCTCCCGACCAGTTTTCCCCTCAGTCTCTGCTCCAGCAAGCTCCGCCCACAAACAGACGCTCCTGCTTGCTCATATTGTTTCAATTAAAGTAAAAATCATTGGTGCTACTGTAGATGCCAACAGACTACCAGCAAACACAATGTCTGCAGGACTTCTACAACTAGGATAAAGTGACATAGTCCAGGACCCGAGGTCAACAGTTTAGCGGCACTACAACACGCTACAGCAGGTCCGTTTGACAAGAAACACTTCTGTTACAGACACTTGTCTTACTTTGTTAAAGCGGTTTACCTGTCCAGCAGAAAGGTTACAGGGTCACCAAGATCCTGAAGCCCCGCCCATTGATTAATCGTTGATGTTGACTCGGCTTTTCAGCTCTTGTCCGGTCCACCTCTGTTTTAAGCGCCCGTTATTCCGCCAGAGTCTCCGGTATTTACTTTGTTTTCTCGCTTGTGTCGGCAGTCGTGGCCAAAGGAGGATTCAGACAATTTTCCGAACTTTCTGGTTGGTTTCTACTTAGTTTCTACACTAACTAAGGTTGGGGGAGGCGGAGAACAGCTTTGTTTACAGTCAGAAAGAGCGGCCGCTCAAAAAATTTAAATTGTTGACTACACTCAGACTCAGACTCAGACTTTTTATTGTCATTGTATGAGGCATACAACGAAATTAAAAACAGCTCGGAGTGGTGTTTTTCTAAGTGAAGTAATAAAAAATAGAATAAAATATGAAATAAAATGATACAAAATAAAAAAATAGAATAAAAATAGAATACTATGTACAAAGTGTGCAACAGTGCAGCGTCACAGTACAGTGACAACACACAACAAACAACACACAGCGATATTGTTATATTACCAAATGTCATCAATAACTAATAGCTAATGACTGATATTAAAAGTTTGGTTGTATACACACCACAAAAAAAGATGCTTCTTGAACAGAATCCTGCCTACCCCACCTTTAAGGTCTGCACAAGTTGAAGTTCCTCTGCATGGGAAAAAATCTGACTGAGATGAATAAATTCTGCTACAAACACCCTTTACTATAAAGTTAGTGGCATGTGCAGACTTTTGGGAATTCACAACACACATACTACACACAGGTATGCATAAACACACGTCCTGATAAAGCACATGTCCTTGCAGCTGCTTTGAGCTGTGGCCTTTTTTTGCTCGCTGAATCGAGGGGTATATAAATAAAGTTGTTGGCTGATGTGAAATCACTTTGTCTCCAAAAAAAAAAAAGTCAAGAAAGCAAATGTGGAGGGAAGCCAGAGAAGTCAGAGGTGTTAGCCAACCAATCAACACCCACTACTGTCAGAAACCATGCCACACATGCAAAAAAAAAAAAAAAGGTTAAAGCCGTACTTTAGCTTACTTTAAAAATAACTGTGAGATTTGGTCTGTTTCTGCTCGGCTTACTCACTTTCTTTCCTCCAAAGGCTGAAAGTGGAAAAGTTACCAAAGGTAACTGTATAAGCAAGCCGAGGCATGACATTTGGATAAGGCATGAAACCAAATACTGTGGGAGGCAAAGAGCGGGAGGGGTGAGGTGAGATGGATAGCATGTACTTCAGAGAGCAGACAGAGAGTGATGGCAGGTCAGGTACGCCCAGGAGGCCTGTGTCAGTGAATAATCTTCACATTAGCGTTGACTCATTTAAATAAAATGGATCACTCAGCAGATAAAATGTTGCAACAGGAATATTAAGCCCTCAGCTGCCTTCGAGGAAAGCTCTCACAAAACCACGTTTTTGCAGGAGTTCAACAATAACTAGAAAACAAACGAAAGAGCATCAAGCATTAGCTGCAGGGTCATCAGTTGGAGTCTTTCTCCAAGGTGCCCTGTTGGACAGATCCGGTGTTGGTACCAGATGTGCGCTGGCTGCCAGATCGGCTCGGGGCCCAGCACCTGTTGAAGATGGAAAGTCCACTGGGACAAACTACATTGCGCTGCAATCGATAAATCAAATGTGCTCAGTAAAAAAAACTCTTGCAGTTTTATTTTTTTCTATTTGTTTATTAAATTCATGTTGAACCTTTGTCTCCATTTAATACAGAGAATTACAACTTACTTTGCTGTATTTTTTTTTTTTTTTTAGATGACTTTAATTGTATATGTTAACTTTTCTAAATGGGAAAAAAAAATACAGTATGTACCCAGGATCTCCATTTATCAATAGACAGTTTTGCTTTTATTCCACATTTCCTTTAGCAACCTAAAAGAGGTGGTAGTCCAGCTGTTGTAATCCCCCTTTTGATAAGTAGCGATAGATTTCTTCGTAAAATTCGTCCATGTTTTATCCGAAGAACTACAATCCGATGAAACCTAATCCCACTTCTGTAATTTGTCCGGACCAACCACAATCTTTCACGTCATCCAACCCCCTTCCAGTCAATCATTTAGTGTGACGTCACCAGCGAATTTTGCGAACATTTGCAGGTGAACTGCTGTATAAATCTATAGCCTAATATAAATCTTACCTCAGACATGTGGTAAGTTGTTGCTCTGGATCAATCGGCTCTCTGTAATCTGTTCTAACCTTCTGCAAACGTGGAGTCAGCTGATGGAGCAGTTCTTGAAATTGAAATTTAAGCTCCTGAATCGTTGTGTGGAGCTCCCTCATCTCCTGTTGCGAGGTCAGTATTGGATGTACCAAGACACTTTGATTCTTCTTATAAACATGACCAGGTCATCATCACTTGAGGATGTAGTCGCCATTGTTTCTCCTTCTTCTCTGTCCCCCTCTGTTCTCCCATGGCATATTTTTATGCGAGTATGCGAATTTTATTCGCGTCGCACCAGGTGTGTATAGAAAAAGGCGTAGGCTGAATATTTTGCGTTTTCGCATCGCTTTTTGCGTCGCTTTACCAATTCGCCGGTGTGCAACAATCTGTAGTGATAAGTTTCCTCCAGTTAGGTCTTCTTGTCTCACCCTGTCAGGATCTTCTTTGGCATAACCACTGCCAAACATTATTTACCATCTCAGACTGGTCTTGAAAGTATTCAAAGTTACTGGGCACAGATGTGAGAGCAGCGTGAAGAGCTAACGGACCCCGACTGTCGCGCTTAGAGAAAAAGGGAGCAGGATCCAGAGTGGAGAGTGCATCTCTAAATTGCTTCCAAGTAACCCAAAACCACAAGTGGAAGTGATAATAGCAAAAGCTTTAATCGTTGTGACATTTGCATCGTTTATCTTCAGAGGTGTGTCAACTCCCAAAGCTCTGAGAGGAAGGCGAGCTGAATGAGGACAGAAATGCCAACGCTCAGTGGAAATGTTCAGTTTCATGTTACACCTATCAGGCCTCCCAGCTCTGAATCCAGGGCTTGACATGAACACCTACTTACCCTCCAAATACAGGTAGATTTCAGCTGCTGGGTAACATGAGCCCCTTCAGCTGGTTGACTCTTTATATTTTTACTATGGTCCTTTCTGAAAGCATCTGAAATAACAACTCCTATGAGCACTATCTGCACACTCGTGAAGCCGACAAGTGTTTCCTACACAACCTGAACATTCACAGACCAACTACAGCTTTCTTTCTTTCTATTTCCATAGGTCATCCATATCTCTCAGAATATCTCTCATCTCAGTCTGCCCTTTGCAGCATGTGACACACGCTCCGCTGCAGGAGTAGAAAGAAAAAAGAAAGAAAGAGATCTAACTGTGTTTAATGAATAGGAGCTACATCACATGTTGAATGTGAACCTTCTCATACTGCTGTTTAAAAGCGATGCACAGCGGTTCGTAAGCACAATCTCTGTTTTGGATAATTGCAGAAGGCGGGGTCAGTCCTATGTTCTCACATATCTAACATTTTCGTTTTAACTGAAAATTATGCTGCGTTCCAGTTGTGCTCCGAGTTGGAAATTCCTCTGGAATGCCCCCCCCTGAAGTCGGATTTCTGACTCCATTTGTCGGACGATCCTCACGAACCCCGACTTGACGTAATAATCCAACATGGCAGCACAGTGCACTAACAGTAAAGAGTAACAGTGAAAGATCTCATAACGTATTATTTTTCAGCACTTCTGTTTTGTTTTTGTGAAATTAAATAAGTGGTATATGTAGTACTTCCCAACCTCTAACTGTGAGCACGGTGCTATGGTGTTTGTAAGAGTAAAATACTGTGTTATGTGTCGTTGACAACTGGCATAGCTAACAACAACTAACAACAGCTAACAGTAGGCGTCCATCTTTGTTTTCCGACTTGTTTACTGGATTGCGTCAACTCGGATGTAGCGTCATTCCCAGCTCCGACATCCGACATCCGACTTCCGAGGTAACTGGAACGCAGCATTAGGCCCTATGTTCCCACATTTCCTTTTTCATGAATTTGAGACTGATTTAATCCCCTTTCTCCCTATTTGGTAGCCAATTATACCAAACCTTTTATCCAGTATCCAGTAGCAAGTAATAACTAGAGAAGAACTCGGAGAGTGCAGACCTCCGCCAAGCAACTCATGTCTCCCCTTAAACAAGGAATGTCCAGACTGGGATTCAAACCCAGGACCTTCTGGTCGTGAGGCGACAGTGCTAACCACTACACCACTGTACCGCCTATCTATTCCACTTTGCCGCCCACTGGTTATCTTTCAGCATTGAAAATTCCAACAACACCCTTATTTTTGTTTGTTCTGGATCACAGTATCCAGAATTTTGTCCGGATCACCACCAAAATTTAATGGGAACCTCCTGAGGCTGAGAGACACCTCTGGTGAAAATTTCAGGTCAATCCTTCTGTTACTTTATCCGTAAAGTTGCTAACAGACAAACAAACCAACGCTACCGAAAACATAACCTCCTTGGCAGAGGTAACAATAATATAATTCATGGGATTTGTACAGTGCAGGTACTCAAAGATGCTTACATAAGGCAGGGGAAGGGTAGTGACAGACACAGTGGAACATGCACTGTGTGTGAAATCTCAAATGTGGGAACACAAGGCTGTGGGAACATAGGCATGGACCCCAAAATGCATCATGATTCACAAGCCTCATCCGTGCTGACATCAAATAATGCATTCTGGTGTTTTATTTCTCCTTTATTGGCGTCATACTGTGAGAAACACATGGAGGAGGTTGTCAGATTGTGAAGCCTTGCGGTGGCACATAAAAAGTGTAACAAAACCAGAGAGCAGACAACACACGAGAGAAAAGCTGACGATGAAACTGAAAATGAGGAGGGAACAAAATGACCTGTAGTGTTAGAGATCAGATGTAGAGAGGCTTTAATTCAACTGTTCAGTGGTGAAAATAACAACAGCAAATCAAACAGCATGCACACAAATCTGAATAAATGAAGTGCATCCAAACATCAGGCGAGAGCAGCTCTCAAGCTACATCTGATTAGTTATGATGTTCAAATTACTTATTGTACAAGCAGACATGAAAATCATTAAATCAATTCCACATTTGTTTTCTATCCTGTTTCATTACTTCAGACAACATCACCGGGTTAGCAGCGACGCACAGAAGCTGCACACAGTATCACTGCTGTGATGCATTTAATAAGGAAACCTGTACAGTCCTCCGAACGAGAAGCTGACCCGTGCAGTTGAATGTAGGAGGCCACGGATGAGATCATTTTCAAGTGTTTGCTGCTTTACAGTAACAATAAACTGTAATAGTGTTTTGGATACACAGTTTTAATTGGATTTCTTGGGGATACAGCAACCGTGAAGAAACACATTGACTTTGCTGATGTTGGGGTAAACTTTATCCTTTGCCTCAAAAGTGATCTCAGATTGGACTTCTCTGAGTCCAAGTTCTTTTTCTGAGAAAGTTTTGAAAGAGTTCATAGAAACTGAAGTGTGACAGGCACTGGGAGCAACTTGGCTGGAGGAAAGTCCTTTTGTTTACTGTGATGTCAATCAGGTGTCACTGTAGATGGAACATGTAATGCCTCTAAGCAGCTGGCGGCTCGGCTTTTTCTCTGACAGGAAATCCGTCATAAACTGTGATAGTTCCTCATTCCTCACCGAGACGCTGGAAGTCAGCTTCCTCCTCTGCTGCAGATTACACATTCGATCCACTTTGGATCTCTCTATTTGTCATGTGTGAATTGTTTTGTTGTTGACTGCACTGTGTTCGTAGTGATGCGGTTGATAAACACCGACAGGGATGACTGCTAAACCTCCAGCTGAAAGCTACTAGACATGAATGAAACCTCACCCTGACTTTGATGGGTCACTACAGGAGCAAAACAGCGATGAGCCGCCATGGCTCAGCTGGAGAAACAGCAAGTGAGAGTTTGAGGGATGAGTTGAGGTGCTATTATACTCATCGGGCACAATGACAGCTCTGGTGGATTGGATTTGTCTCCTTTTTTCCCCTCAGCTATAACTCATCCTGGCTGTGCTGCAACCAAGTCGCAGTCGACAGAGAGGAGAAAACGAGTGGTGTTTCAGCGGGTTATTGAATTGTTTTTGTTCTTTTATTTTCGTGCAAATGAATTCAGTCCATTTTTTGAGTGCTATGCTTTTAGCTCAAACTGAATGTGTCAAATGGAGTGTGTTACACAAGCTCCTTGGCAGTGCTGTGCTGCTTTCACTGAGCTCTCCTGTGTGTGTGTATCAGAGTCAGAGTTAATATGGTGTCTGTGTTTTACCACATATGTTCTGTAGGTGCAGAGACCCTGATATACATTCGTGGGCAGGCGGCAGGGATCCGAGCTGCTTTCATAGAGGTATTGAGTAGACGGAGTATTGAAAGTTGGTTGCCACAGCAACTGTGATGGCAACTATAAATCATATTAATGGTGCCTCTCATTGTTCCTCCATCATGATCAAATTCAGGTTCTGAAATAATGACAAAACGCTGCCCAGAGTGCAGCCGACACTGTCGCAGAAAAAAGGAAAAACGGCGAGGACTTGCTCCGTCAAGTTGATGGTTTCGTGTGTGTTTATTTTACATGCTAACCGTGGCTGCAGAAGATACGGCATATGGGGTGAGGGGGTTGTAATCTAGTGGAGTATTTGTCAAGATCAGCAGATATCTCTTCACAGTCCACTAACTCTCTGTTCATCTGAAAAAAAAATAAAAAAAGCACAAGCTCTGAAAATGGAAACCAAAGTGGCTTGGAGCAAACAACACAACATGATTCCAGCTGAACTGCAACATGTAGCGCTCATGCGTTGCTCTCCAACCCTGGTCTCTTGAGAAACATAGCTCACCATGTTTGAGATAAAAATTTCTCGTATTAAAGAGGCTGACTACCTCCAGGCACGCGGCACTTAAGATTCCACCATGCTGCTTGTTATTAATTGGCTGTTGGAGAAGTGTCTCTTGTAATCCATGTCGATCAGCATGGGGGCGGAGCTTCTAAATACGCTCTGATGAGGAAGGGGGAGGGGGGGTATATCTGATCAGCTTTGAGCCGAGATTTCAACAGGCTTTCTTGAGAATATCCAGTTCTGAGAAGGAAAGTGGAGAAAAGCAGCGGCTTTATTCACAGTGCTTTCTATTCTCAAGAGTCGCACTGAGAAAATTAAAAGCAATTCTTTGACTCGTGAGGTTTTTCTAAGAATCCCCTCAATAGGACTAGATCCCGGCAAAGAGAGCAGTTATTCATAAAGCGTCTTTGCCTTTCTAAGTGCTCCTAAGGTGAAGAGCTGGTAGGAGCAGTGAAGAGGACTTTTAAGGAGCAGAGGAGAAAACAGTAAAAAGACTACGAAATCAAACTCTTAGGTCAGATCGAGCAGGGATCATGTTTGTACCACTGACCCGATATAGACAGGGCGATATTGCTTCATTTCTGCTATTTTCAGAAACCGAGATCGCGCCTGTGATGCTCCCAAACACACAGTTAACTTATTCATAAACTTTACAAGATCTGTGTTCTTTCCGTACTCAGAGTTGCTCTGAGCGTGTCTCTGATTTATTACTAACCCAGAACTCATTTGTAAAAGTTTTCACCCTCAATAAGAGGACTCTAACAAGGTTTGTGAATCCAGACAAAGGTGAGTAGAAAATCACAGGAACGCTCAGTGTTGGTCAAAAGTGCTAAATTGAAGCTTGAGGGTCCTGAGTTATCTCATAAACTTTACATAGAATAGAAAAGTCACTTTATTTCTACACACTGTGAGACGTGAAACCAAAACACCTGACTGGCAGAAATGACGTCACACACATACACACACAATGCTAAACA